AGCTTTCTCGGATTTTTGTTTCCGAGAACTTTATCTTCTTATTGACGAGGCACTACTTTGAGGGTTTGTATTTTAATCCTGCATTAATGAATAGACAGCACTGATTAGTTTTGCACTGTAGACGTAAAGTGAAGCTAGCTCTACAATATGCAATTTAAGATTCCGCAAGAGCTTTAAAGGCAAAAGAGCTATAGACGTTTGAGTAAAGGGTACGTTAACATTGGATCTGTCTCAAAATTGAAGTGTTGTTTGTTCCAAAAACAAATTGAGAATCAGCGCAAACGGTATGATTTTCTTGAGGTATACTAAAAACTAGACAAGGTATTCATACGCAATATTTGATTGAAGAGCGAGGAATACTAATAAAATTACTAAGTCGGGAAGCTAGGCTCAAAGACTTTTAGGACACCCTGTAATATTAGGTTGTCCCATAAGTATTTTCATGTTTGAGTTTTTGCTATAATAAGTCACACACTTCTTACTCTATATAGACGCAAGACACCATTCGACAGAGCAAAGCAAACTCTATAAGGCGCTTATGCTTTTGCACCAGCATAGGTCCAGCTCAAGTTTCAAACCAAAACCTAAAAAGTTTCGGAAGCCCAAAAAACTAAAAATTATTGTATCTTTGCTCAAAAAAGTCCTACAGATCCACTCGCTCACGCATATGCATATCACATCAGGCATTCAATGTGCTGTTGTTGTATTTTTTAGATGAAATGTTGAGTTAAAACCCAAGTGAGGAAAGTAAATTCGATATTTCTCGCGAACTAGAACTTATAGAAAGCCAAAAATCTACAGTAGTACTTCTAAGGGCTTTTAGTATACAATTGTCAGTGTAAGAACAGAGCAGCGTTACTTTGTAAAAACGTGGAAGTTTTCGGTCTCTTGATTTTTAGCTGATGAAAAAATACAGCAACAGCGCGTTCAAATGTCTGATGTGGAATGTATCTGCGTGAGGAAAAATCTGTAGGACTTTTCTGAATGAAGATATAAAACTTTTCAATTTTTTGGGCACACGAAACTTTTTAGATTTTGGTTTGAGACATGAGTTACACCCAAGCTGGTGCAAAAGCATAAACGCCGTCTTGTAGAGCTTGCTTTGTTCTGTCGAATGGTATCCTGTTTCTATTCAAAATAAGAAGTGTGTGACTCATTTTAGCGAAAACTCAAAGATGAAAAGACTTATGGGACAACCTAATAAACAAAAAAAACATCTAATAAGTACAGGATGTCCCAAAAAAATGTGAACATTGTTTGATAGTTGATAACTCTTTTGTCATGAATTCCTTCGAGAAACTTGAGGTACCATTCTGTAGAGCGTTCAATTTAGACTTTAGTATGAAGCTATTAATCAATCACTCTTTATTACTGTAAGATTACGGTACAAACTCTCAGAATAATGCCACTGCATACAGACTTTTGATGAAAAAATTCCAAAATCTGGAATTTTGTGCAGCGAGGTTTTTGGGCGTGCCAATTTCACTGCACAACTTTTTGCCAGTTTTTCGAGCTTTTCAATGGTGTACTTGAAATGACTTAACAAAGGAGGAATACGACGAAATGCAAACATCATATTTGGAATCAGTGAGTAGGACTAGTCCAGTACAAGAGATTTTGGCTTGTTTGGTTTTCTTTCTGAAACAAAAATCGCTTTCGATTTCCAAAAAGTTTCCACTGTAATCCTACAGTAAAGAATAGCGGTTGATGAATCGCTTCTTATTGTAAGTCTAAGTTGACCTCCCTCCACAGAACAGTGCTACAAGCTTCCCGAAATACTTCATGACAAGAGCTATCTACGATCAAATAGTTTTCACATTTTTTGAGACAATTGTATAGCCGATAGCTATGGTAAGTCCATATCAAGGTTTTCGATGCTCGTAGAAACCAAAAAAGTTTTGCTAAAGACTGCAAAAACAGCTCAATGTGATATGAAGTGATTACTTTGAATAGTAAATGACTACATCAGTCAGATTACTTTTTTCATGAAATGAAAGAGAATCAAATGCTTTTTTGTCAGCTAAAGCGAATTAGTAGATATATCGGTTAAATAAATTTATCATATCTCACTGCTGGGAAGAGATACAAAAAAAGTCGATCTATTTCGATTCTCCGTAGTCTCAGCTTTCGAATGATGTGTAGCTTGTTAGGGCATTGAGTTTTCTGGCTTGAAAAAATGCTTGCTCCGGTGATCCATAAAAGTCAATACATTGGAGGAGCGCGGTGGAGCGAGCTAACTGTATATATCTCCACCCCATTGGAAACTGCTATGTTTTTTTTCGCCCAATAATCTATAAACTATTCGAATGCTTAGAAAACATGGATTCGACATGAAACGTCGACTTCTTTCTAGCCCAATCCAATAAGAGATACGCCGCATTTTGACTAAAATTATGTCCATTTTTGAGAGCAGATTTCTGCCCAACAAAAACATAGCTACCGCTGAATAATTTTTATCACAGAGGAAGTCTTCATCAATAAACATAGACCGTCGATTTCTCGTAGCTTCCATCTTGGTTGCGATAAGAGAGCAGAAAGTGAACACACCAAATCAGTTGAAATGCTAGCCAGATAATCATATTTTCCGGAACATAATACGTAGAAAAACTGACAGTTTTATTCAATTCGTCATGACCTCAGCTTTCGAATGGTATATAGATTGTTGAAGGATTTTGCTTTCAGGGCTCGCTTACCTCCTTCACCTTATAAGAATGGGAGTAGCGGAGACCCTCTTCACCTGGAGACGGCCCGGCTCCCCCTATCGCACCTTTCAAAAGGTGAGTATTTGGTCAGGCATTAACTGTCAGCCTACCTAAGCCTTAAAGCTTTGTTTGTGTAGCTGCAAAAACGTTTGCTCAAATAGTTTGCAAGTCGTCATGTCCATTCCAGGCTCTAAAAAGGCGACTTGCCGAAACGTCAGCTAATAAAACGTTGACAATCTCGGATCACGGCTCAGTGTATTGAAGCACAGTATAATGATCACTTAACTGTTTCCGTTTTTTATTTTTTGTCTGTATATTTTTTCTATAGCAATTCAATGAAATTACAAATTTTCTGCTGTCCTGATCGATATACGATTGTGGCAGTCGTGCGACCTCTGAGGATTCTCGACATCAGCGTGATGAAGTGCGAGGCTGCTGCGGAGATCTCACGGCAGAGTTATGGACGCGCTTGCGATAACTCGTTGGTTCCAGCTCTGGCGGCTGACTGCGGCACCAGGCAGTTGCCGGACTAACACTTGCACGCCTCCCTCCACGTGTCCCGTTCAGGCCGTAACCCCGGTTAGATATGGGCGCTCTACTCAGCGGTGTGCGAACGTGAGCGCCTGACCACGCAAAAGAAGGTTTGGCGAAATCGGCCAAGTCAGGAACAAATGCAAACTTACTCCTTGATTATCGAGTTATGTGAAATAACGCATCGTTGCTTAAGTGCTGGAAAATGTTGGTAATTCAGAAAGTTCATTCAATTATCAAAAAGCTGGATTAATTGTTTTATTACAAGATGATTTGATTCGATTTGATCCCAAGATCTGCAAAAATTCAAAGCCGGATCTCTTCAGTTCGAGCTCTACTGCCCTCACTGAGCCTCAGGAGGCATAACACGTTTTAGAGTTTTTCAGCTAACCAGCATATCTGGAATCGGCGTTCGAAGCTTATACGGGGAAACGACAGCGCCTGGTCAGAGTTATGGCCTCAACGAAAACACTTTCTCAAACCGGATTCCTACCGCCGCAATTCTCTCTACTTGGTACGCCGCCTGCACGGTACTTTTGCCTGCATTACCATTCATTAAACTGAGAGCTTCAAGACCGCTACGCATATATTGCCTAAACAAGCTTGGACGTGTAGTCAAAAGTTTGGAACTGCAGTTTACTAGCATTTCAACTACATGCTATTCATCGCACACAACGATGGACGCCGACTTAGATAATTCGCGCATGGGGGAGATAGTGGATGGCAAGAGAGATAAAAGAACGCTTGGTCAGTAAGACGCCGACAGCGTCCATAGTGGCGCCCTGTCTTTGCGTGCGTTAAACAGCTATATCTGGAATCAGGGAGAACAAGCTCAGGTTTGTACAAACAATGTGCGCAAAGCGCTTTCGAGATCTTGACCACAGAATAAATGATTTTTCTTCCTCTGTGTGCTTTGCCTCACCACAATCATCCGCTCTGATTTTTCATAGCAGCAATATCTACCATGACCTGATTTAATCCTTGCCCCTTTCTTGTTTGATATACTTGTTTGTAATGCTAAAGCAGATGAATAGCCAGCCGTACGCGGTGCCCATTTACTAGATGGATGACAAGTGTGAGAGCGAAAAAAATTGCTTTCGGACATCTTTAAAATAAAAACTGAACGTTTGATAAAGGAAGTACCAATAATGTGAAGCGGTGTCGACAATTCGCGCGAGATATGCAAGGTACCGAGGTTTGCAGGCGTCTTCACGAGGTAAAATCCGCAAGCTTCCAGCATCTCCTCCATTTGGAAACAATCCTAACTGCGCATTCGTAATGGTGTGAATACGCATCGAGGGCAGACGTCGTCACATAGCATCTATGTCTAAAATTTCGTAGCTTATTCTCTAATGCTGGGCGCGCTATTCAAAGTACGTAACGGGACACATTCGATAAGTATGCAAGACCCAACCAAAAACATATGTTTGCGAAGAAAGGTCATTACTCGAAGGTATATGAGTTACTCGATACGGAGGGTTTTAGGTCGAGAACGGCCAAAACTTGCCAGTGATTGTACCGCAGTAAAGACACACCCAAACAAACATTGCTTTCACTATCTATGCAGCTTTACAATAAATGAAATGAAGAAACGGCAAGTCCCATAAAGGCGGACATTTATTATTGAGAAGCAGAAGCGAAAGCAAAGGTCGCCCACTTTTATCATTGGAGCGCATGAGTTGCAAACCCGAATTCGGTAAGCGCTTCAAATAGGCCGCCTTCGTCCAAGACTAACCCTTACTAATTTGTGACAATACATACACATCTTTATCCGTCTGTGAACATCGCAAACTTTTTTGCTAACTCGTCAAAAACAAGCTGAATCCGTTGTTTTCCAAATGTATTGAAATGATTGTTACAATTGAGATACATGAGGTTTGTTTCAGGGTTGTAACCAAGGTAGTGACCTTTCTTATCAACAAGCTCTGGCATGTAGTCCACTATCTCACAGTTTTTGCATCTGAAACAACCTTTTTACAGCATTATTATTCACAGTATGTGTGCATAATAAAATTATCATTGAAGCATTAGTAAAAAGATGAACATTATGTTAAACACTGTCAAACCTTTTTCCAATTTCCCATATCCGATGACGAGCGAAAAAGAAAAACTCATCCTTCTCTATGAGGCCATCCTGGAAGTTCAGAGTTTAAAAGATTACACTGAAATAGTTTACTGCAGTTTCTGAAGTAGAGCTTTGCGAAATCACAGTAATTTGTCGAACGCGGTCATTATAAACAGTGCTTCCAACAGGATTTGTTTTTTTACTTCCACACAGAACATGTGTCAAGTGGTAGCTTTTCTTTCAATCTAAGCTGCTTTATCGAGCACTACTTTCGTTAGTGCGTCTTGCTTTGAATGTTTCGAGTGGACAGGACGGCAAGATAACTTACATAGTGCCAAGATGTTGTCTCCCACTCTAATAAGCTGCTTTGATGAAAATACGTGTATGTTGATTAGAGAGCAAAATACCCAGAAAATTGTCACTGATTCCCAATGCCACAAGTTTTGCTCATCTTCTCGGCTTGCAAATTGCACTTGTGTATGACCATGATTCTAGGTACCTAGATAGTGGCACGCGTTTAGCACCCAGGGCTTGGCACAAGTGGCTCACGGAGCAAGCTGGGTATCGTTGAAGTGAAAAGCAAAGAGAATACTGGTTTTGCGGGTTCGCTGCGAAACCCCGAAAAAACGTATGCATGAACTTAGTGTTGTATATGAAAAAAAAAACGCCGATTCCTCCTTGCACGATCGGGGGTGTGTGAATTAGAAAAAATATTTTAAGAAAACCTTCAAACCAACTTTACTGGGTTTTTATAGAAAACTAAACGAGTAAGAAACTTCGGAGAGTTGGCCAGTATTCAACCACTAACTCAGCAATTCTTGCAGCCCTCCTCTTCCCTCCCCTCCAACCCCCTCTCGTTCAAAAAAAAATAAAACTTATCCAAGGGCTCTTACACTTTCATCAACCCCCGCCCCCTCTCCCTCTTTTATGCCGCCTCTTCATTTTCTGGAGACGTCCCAGACTCTCAGCACTGCAATACTGAACCAAATCTCTGCGAAACCAACAATTTACCGCTACAATCTGCTCGTCGCAAAACTTGGGAGTTCAGAATGTCCCGAGATAAATAAAAGGCTTGTTTACAGCGAAGTGAAAACGGTATGATACGAAAATTGGTGTGCAGATGGGCGATAAAGAGTTAAAACTACGAATGAAAAATTGTGAACAAGTTATGTGAACTGAAAGCGCGGCGAACTCTTTTTGTGTTTAGATGGATCTCCAGCCACCTGGGCAGCCACCTGAGGTGTCTGCAAAGAGAAAGTCGTAAATTTTCCTTTCTTCATATAATTTTCTCACACGTTTCACATAGTTGTTCTACATCAATATCTCTACGAATGAGTTTTTCAAATCTTCCCAACTCTCCTCCTCACTTACTTACAGCCCTCCAAATATTTTGCATGGCGGCGACACCGCGCAATGTGCGCGCAATGTGCGCGCCAGACACAGCATGCCCCCAATTCGGAGAATAGAACATTTTATTTTTTTTTGTCTTTTCAATGTTAGTTTCATGTTTTGTCCCATTACTTTTTCTTATTCATGTTTGACCCATTCACGAACGCATCATAGGTGAATTTTGTGCCCAAGTTTACTGGGACTTCGTTTTTGAAAAATTGACATGCTGAGCCCATTGGCACCTCCTACTTTCAGCACGCTGCTCGACTGAAGAGTAACAAATGGACTCCTGTACAACATATTCGACTTTGCCACGTTTGATTGTTGCGATTTCTTACACGATGTGAGTGGGAGACGTATTGAGGCACACAACTATCTATGGTCATATCCTAGAATTGTCTATAACTACCATCATGTGACTGCGTTTCATTCGTTTTAACACATTACCTCCAGCAAATTTAAGAGACTTTCTCGAACTTAACATGCCAAAACGATCTAAAGGCAGCCACTTTGATAGTACCTACGGGAACAATTTTGGGGAATGCACGATACTTTGGTTCACGCCGCTCTCGGTCAGTCCTTCTGCCGTGGACCGCGGCCAGTTCCCCGAACTTGTGGCTCTTTGTACTGAGTACGGGCCAGGAGTCACGATTTGTCGCGAAGCGATGTCGCGATGCGACGCCAAGCAGTACAAGAGTCAACTTTCGCCAACACTCCTGGCGCAATGTTACTTATAGCCTCGAGTCATGTATCTGCCGCCACCCCCATCTCCCTACGCTAGCGGCGTCACTTTAGCACCGGAGAGTTTTTGTGAGGCAGAAAATATGCACGCGAGCCTTCTCCGCCCGCGGTGTACTCCCAAACCTAGCCTTTTGTAATTGAGCCTTTGAGTACTTCATCTCTCCAGTGTTTCCTTACTTCCTTCTCCTTCCCTCACTACCATCGGATAGCTTGAGCAGGTAAGGTAAGCTTGTACACAGTTTTCAGAGATTTCCGCTCATCACATTCATTTAATAGAACTGCATTGCATGACAGTGATGTAAGTTATCTACTTGGTTGGTACTGGAATTGCTTCAGAATACTTAAATCCGTTAGAACATATGCAGAGGGCAGCCTACTTTTATTTCTTCAGGCCCATTAACGTTAAAGGATACGTAATATTCCTTCAAAAGTGTACTATTCTTTGCAGGAAGCAATAAGAAAAGTTCCGCTGCCGCAAAAATGAATTCAAGGTTGCATGCTGTGCTGGAATGTGTTGATGAAAATATAACATTCAAAGTGGGATGAGAATAAAACTGGGGTTTTATTCAGCTATAAACATCAAAATGGTTTCATACTCAACTGTAAACATTCAGAGTTTCGACATATGCTCATTAGTATGCTCATTGCCTGTCATATGTACTATCATATCACCTATGCACTAGCCGAAGGCGGTGCATAGGTGATCTCAGATAGTCTCTCTGAGTTAAGCAAATCTTCCCCTAATATGTCATCTTTTGATTAAACAAGTAAAACGACAGAAAAAGAGTTATCCAGACTGCTTTGTCAAGTAAGCACTGGCTCTCACACAACATAGCAACTGACTTAGCAAATGAGTAACAATGATTGGTAACATAGCAAGAATGAAAATTAGGAACAATCTGGACATAAGTGGTCTGATTTACGTAAATTAGCATAGTGGTGTACTAAACTGCTCACAAAAAATTGATTGATCATTGTTTGTGAGCGTAGCAGATAATAAGATCTCCAACAAAGGTTTCCTTTGCATTTTCTTTACCGGATTCATTTCAGCATATTTCTTGTATATTTCTGAGAAAAGTGAAGCAGATTTCTTGGAAAAGGCATAGTAAACTCGCAGATTACCTAGACGTAAACACTATCATTGTCAGTTTGTGGACGCTCAATCAGACAGATTCGTTCGCGCATAAAGCTTAAAATTCAGCGCTACATAATATGATTGTGGGACCTAGGCAAAAGTCGAAGATTCGGTTCGCGACGGGCCTATTTCTTTGGCAAAGCTCTTGCCCCACGAATCCAGCATGAGGCTGCTCAACCAAGAGAAAGCAAGCGACAAGCCGGCTGAAGAAGAAACTCCGTCGCATCAAATGCTCTTTTATGTCTCATAGGATATTTCGAGTAAACGTAGGTGACGCACATCCGCTCGACGATGTGGACAGTAGGCGAGGGTTACGTCTCAGCAAGATGAGCGGGGACGGCTAAAGAAGCTAGCTCATCATTGCAAAACATCCAATCTCGGCATTACGTCTAGTTACTATCAACGTCGGTTCACTCACAGCTCGACATCGCAATTTAGCCGATTTTCTCAGAAGAGTAGAGTAGACATCGCATGTATTCAGCAGACCAAATGGAAGGGTGAAAAGGCGCGTGACATTGGAGATGGCTACAAGCTTCTGTATAAAGGAACGACGAACAACAGGAACCTTGTCGGCATAGTCGTCTAAAAAATGAAATTACCAGCGTAAATAAAATGAGTGACCCGTCTCAAGGGTATAAGACTGGATACCGGGAAAAAAGTGCTTCGAATAGTAAGCACCGCAAGTGGGATGTAAAGAAGAGGAGAAGGAAGAATTCTGGCAACTGCTTGATGACTAGTCAGTTCAATGACAGAAGAAGAGATGTTACTGATCGGTGCGGATGGGCAATGGGCATGTCGGAGAACAAAGAAGTGGTTTACAGAAGTGTCATGGAAATCACGGTTACGGAACACGTAACTACGAAACAGAACGTATTCTAGAGTTCGCTACAGCCCAAGACCTAGCCTTAGCGAATACGTGCTTCATCAAAAGACCAACTACCTCGTCATGTATGCAAGCGGAGACCACAAATCGCAAATAGATTTCTGGAGCGTACAGTACAACGAGCTCAAGCATGTAAAAGATAGTAAAGTTATCGGCAAAAGATTGCCTGCCGCAACATCGGCCACTGATACTGGATCTCAATATCCCAGTTAACAGGAGAAGAAGGGCGATGACCGAACAAGAAGTACGCATTAATTGATGGAAGCTTGAAGACAACGCCCGAACAGAACGTCAATGGAATCTGCCCTGCCGTTATTGCAAAGTGATCCAAACTACTCCTGGATGCTTCTGAAGGACAATATCCATCAGATGGCTGGCGATCTGCTAGGCCGCACGAAGCCCGGAAGACGGAAGCTCGAGAAAGAAACATCGTGGCAGAATGACAAACTGCAGATTTTGGTAAAGAACAAGAAGTCGGCACACAGTCATGACTGAAGACAAGATCGGAAGATGCTCACCAGAGCTACCTGGAAGCGAAACGAGAAGCCAAGAGAAGTGTCAAAGAAGCAAAACAAGCATACGTAGCCGAGCTGTACAGGAAGCTGCACACTCGCGAAGGCGAACAAGAAGTTTGTCGGATTGCCAGAAGAAGATCAAACGCTATAAAAGACATCGAACACTTCTACAAGATCAAGGATGTACACGGAAGAATGTTGAGGAAGCCACAGGAGATAAACGAAAGTTGCAGAGCTCACTTCGCAGAGATGGCGTCCGCTAACTCAGAATACGAGTCCACCACAACAGCCGATCCTGTAAATGGACCAGTGCCAGCGATCACAGAAGTTGAAGTCCGTGCCGCCATAATGAAAATTAAGAACGCTAAAACAGCAGGTCCAGACGACATTCCCAGCGACTTCTGGAAGAAGTGTGGACAGCTGGAATTTTGTGACTCACAACATTTCTGAACCAGATAATAGAATTCGGGAATAGCCAGACGAGTGGTACACAAGCACGACGGTACCAATATGGAAGATTAAAGGCGACATAGCCAATCGCTCCACAAACAGACCAATTCGACTCATGTGCCATACGTTGAAGTTCTTCTAAAGAACACTGGAGATGTGGCCTCGAAGCATCATACAATTGCTCTCCCCCCCCCTCCCACCAATGCGGCTTCGTAGAGGGGTGCAGTACAACCGATGCCATTTACACAGTCGGGATAATGATGGAAAAAAGCAGGGAAAGCAGTGTGAGCTCCATGCGGCATTCCTCGATTTGGAGAAAGCGTTCGATAGAGTACCACATCACCGGATATGGTCATTACGAAAGCACGAGGTACTAGAAGAATAATTCCGCTGGATCAAAATAATAAACAAAGGAGCCACCAGCCACGGTGGCGGAACTAGACGACTTCCAGATAAACCCGGCGTGCATCAAGGTTCCGTACTGTCTCCGCTACTTTTCACCACAGTCGTAGACACGATAATAAGAGATTTCATACGCCCGCTCCCATGGTCCGTCATATACGCAGACGATGTGATCGTAATGGAGAAGCAGGAAAGAATTGGAGAATGATGTGCAAGCAAAAAAACTGGAAAACACAACTTGAGCTGCATGGTCTGAAGATCAGTACCGCAAAGATAGAATACATGGAGCTGGGACCTCGAACGCCAGGAACGATCAAGATGGCAGACACAGCAATCAAGAAGACCACGTCATTCAAATACTTGGGAAGTTGCATAAGAGCAGATGGCTCACTTCACGACGAGATAAATGGCCGAATAAACGCAGCTTGGTTGAAATGAAGGAGCCTCACAGGAATTCTGCGCGACAAACGGATGCCACTGAAGCTGAAGTCACAAATGTATTGCACTGTAATCTGTCCATCCGCGTTGTATGGAGGCGAGTGTTGGCCAAGCACACGCAACGATGAGCGAAAGCTTGGGGTGCTGGAAACACGTATGCTGCAATGGACGATGGACGCGACCGTGCTCGACCACGTCACGAATGATAAGATACAAACCATTATGAAAGTTGCTCCCATAGTCAAGAAGCTGCAAGAAAGACGATTTTGATGGTACGGGCCGTAAGAAGACAAGAAGAAGAACACATCACAGGGTTAGCAATGTCAGTGGAGGTGTGGCCGGGAAAAGACCACGAGGGAGACCCGAGCTAAGATTAACCAATCGAGTGAAAGCAACTTGAAAGAACTTGGATTAGATGAACGACAAGTTGTAGATCGAGAAGAATGGAAGAGACTGACAAGAGCAGCACCCGTGTAGGGACAGATGCAAGGATAAAAACTCAAAATGGTACAAAGATTAGCTGTTACAACCGTGGGAGGGAGAAGCAAGTAAGTGCAGGTAGGAGAAGAGCTGATCACAGCTGAGATACAAACGGACCTTTAAAGTTCGTGGAACCTCTTGTACTCTGTAAAAGCCGTAAAGGCATGAACGAAAGTGACTGAGTCGGATTTGATGACTGTGTGCTTTTAATACGTCGTGAGCGAGATGTTTAGTTAAAGCGCGTTTTCTTCCTTACGATGATCAGCGTCGTTGCTATTTCGGATTCTAACGAAGATGAGAGGAGGAGTTTTGAGATAAAAATAATGCCACTTGACAAACTTAGGGTGCAGAGCAGATTATCTTAAAAATAAAAAATTATGTGCGCTAAAAGTTCTGCCACTCTGGGGCATTAGGGGCAAATGCCACCTTAGTTCGACGAAATATTGGGCAAGCTCTTCATTCACATAAGTTTTTCGTATAATTTCGTACTTCAAGTACGCATATACACACTAAATATCTGTGCAGTGCAAGCGAGTCATTTTTACACTTTTCATTGGTGGAAAGTTTTCAGATTCACAGTTCTTTGCATTAAGCCCCTTTTAGCTCTTCTCTGTTCATATACTAGATTTGGTGTTATCTCATTGTGCGTGGCTGTGAACGAAGCGGATGCTTATTACTTTGTGCGAAAAAATTTGGATTTTGGAAAATAAACAAAGTTGTTTTTTTGCACGCCGGTAGTGTAGCAACTTATTAGGAGAATGCGTAGGTAAAGGCTACTTGCAGGACGAAGGCGCAGAAGCACTATTGGATGAGCGGTATCGAAGTGCATGCGCGCATATCTTCACCGTTTGTAAACCCTGCGATCCGCGCGCTCTGTGGCTAATAAACTTTGCGTTTGCGCCCAAGGATATTGCGCTTTCGTCATGCGTAGCCTATATGTGCTTATGTATGAACCTGTGTTCACAACTCCCCTCCCCCTGTGCGTTTTCCACCTAGAACGACTTCCAGTTTGACATAAACCACCCTGACTCAACAACATGAGGATCATGGACTATCATCTAGTCGGAGAGCGTCATCAAATCACCCACTTTTCAAAGTGGAAGCGACTCAAATGACTCGCTCCGCACGCAGAAAGAGCTTGAAAGTACTCAATACCTTCGAAACATGGAATTGAAGCGGAGTTATCTCTAACTCAGCTGAGCCCCTCTAGAACAAACCACATAAAAATACTTAGAGGATGGCATCGGAAATGTAATGTTACACCGTACAATGTAGGTGCCTTCGCTGATGATGAGATGTTTCCTTTTGGGGAATAAAATGTACGGTATCAGGAACACTGTCCCAAAAAGGGATTAATTTTTACTCCCCTGGGCTGATTAAAGGGAAGTCATCAAAATGCTTGTAAGCAGGATAGCAAGAGGTCAGGCACATACCCTTCAAAAACGATTACCCGCTTTGCCAACGTACTGGAACGACCCCTCATTTCTCGATCTCACCTCCACAGTCTCGTATGTCGCATTTAGGAGAGAAAAAGCCTGTGGCGACTTTTCTCTGTTGTTCTCTGCGCATGTTTTTCTGCGATAGCACACGGCTTAGCAATGAAACGGTATAACTGACGGCAAACTTGCCCCATTTGTTACGTCCAACCTATACATCATAGTGCATTTTAATAAACTTGCTTTGATTGTGTTCAGAGGTCTTCCATTTTGTAAGTAATTCACAGCTCTATGAGCGCAGCCAAGTTTACAGCTTGGTAATGCTTGTAAGATGTAGACCTGAAATTAAAAACTTGGTAAAAAAAGTGTCATAGGGTGTCCCAAAAGCATGTAAGCACTATCTATCTCTATTTCCATAGCCTTTGAAATTTAGGTATCTTCGAGTCACTCGTAACTTAGTATGCGTAGTGCACACCATGTGCGCTATCGACGAACTCCAAGACTAGAACCTGCTCATTTTCAATCACTTGTCTTTATTTGTCTGTCTGTTTTTGTTTTTGCTGGATATATGTCAGTTGTTGGAATACGAATTCAAAGTTTGTTAGGCTAGAAAAAGTTTTACAAAATAGTTTACAGTAAGGGTGCCGTCGCTTGCCGCGCAGGGTGTGCACTTTTACATATTAAGTTACAAATGACTCAAAGATAGATCATCGTGAACTGGTTTCAACTTGATTTTGCAGTATAGAGCGATTCACCGATTTTTCATTATCACTGTAGGATTATGGTAGAAAATTCCAGCTTCCGGCATTATAGCGTCATTGTGAGATGTGCCAAACTCCCAGGAAACGATTTTTTGGTTTTTGCGAAACTTGCATCTAAATTAATATGTGACTGAGCTGACGCGAGACGACGTGGTATTGGACTTGGTCTTAGCAGGGTTACAGTGTGTCACTTAGCACTGCTAGCCACTGTAGGATTATGATAGGAAAATTTCAGCTTCCGGTATTATGTATAGCGTCATTGTTAAATAGGTTGATTGAAAAAAAAACTTCAAGAAAACTGAAAAGTTGTGTAGCAGTGTTTTCATGCATGCTGATATCATTACACAACGTTTTAGAGTTTTCCGCCCCGATTTTTGAATTAGAAATTAAGGGCTGTACCTTTGTACCTTTGAACTGCTCTACAAACATAAACAAGGTTATCTGCTAGGGTCAGAAATGTAATGACGACATTGTGCCGGAAATGTCTGCTGTAATCCACTAATGAAAAGCAATGAAAGATTCGTCTTCGCTCCATTCTTTCACTTTCAAGCTGTTCCCTACAACATGCTGCTCACACGAAAACCATTTAGAAGAAAGCCGTTAGTGAAACGCCACGACACATGCTTTAGTACACCCTGCATATGACATATTGATGTAACTTTTCTAGTTGTTTTTTCGAGGAGTTTCAGTGTTTTCATGAAAAGACCGAAGACTCTGTCATCATCGATTGGTTCTGACACATTGAGCGGAGCTTTCGTGATGACAGCTCTGAAAAATCACACAGCTTCGCAAACTCAACATTATTAGAAAGTTGCAACCTATCTATCACGAATACGACTTCAGGCTTCAGTTCTTTCACTATATGAGTAAAGTTGAAGGGAATTGGACAATTGGGATAAAACATTTCATATCCTGAACTTGTTATCGCTATATCGAAACGTTATGAAGCTCTATGAAAACAAACATACTTGGCAAACAAAATATGTTGAACTGCCTTGCATACCGTTTGAATGCCTTGTAAATGACATCGCCTTGGTTGCAGGCAAAGCTATTTCCAGCGACCAGCATGTCTATTCTGCCATTTCCATTCTAAAGACAAAAAATAATCACTATGCGGTGTACACAAATGGACACTCCTTTCAAAAACAGGAGCCTTCAGTCACAGATACGATTTGGCTTATTGTAAACCAGTCTTTGTATTAGTTTGCATACCATAACAGGGTGTCCCAAAAAATGTGAAAAAAGATCTTCCAGAGAGCTTGAGGCATCGTTCTGCGGAGCAAGGTTCAACTTAGACTTACAGCATATAAGGATTCTCCAGTCTTTTTTCGTTACTGTAGGATTACGGCATAACCTTTCAGCATACAGCGCCACTGTGGAATGGGCTTTTTCCAGGGGAAAAAATTCCAAAATGTCCAGAAATCTGTGTAGCAAGGTTCTCAGGCGTGCTGATTTTACTACATAGCTTTTTATCAGTTTTCGGGATTTTTTAATGGTGTAAAGACGAACATTGGAAGAATAGTCGCTACCCTAAACCTGAAATAACTTATAAAAGAAGCATTACAGTAAATTGCAACTTTCATATTTAGAATCAGCGTCTTTGATTAGTCCGGTACAAGAGTTTCTGTCTTGTTTGGTTTTTCTTCTGAAGCAAAAATCGCTTTTGATTCTCCAAAATCTTTCTCGAAGTTCCTACAGTTATCCTACCGTAATGAAGAGCGAGTGATGATCAGAGGTGCGATAGTCGGAGCCAAGTCTCCGCCTACTTTCACTTTTGAGCTGGTACAGGACGAACACCTTCACTTTTGGGTTTTGCGTTTTTTAAATAAGCAAAACGAACGCAAAAGATAGTGTTGAGAGCATATTCCTACGCAGTTCACTTTTAAGAACTCGCCGTCGGCTACTGCGAGCACCTAAAGGTCATCACCGACATGGACTCTCTACGCCTCAGCACTCACTACGGTTTTGGAGAGCAAAGTTTCATGATGACTTCGGATAATTGAAGAGCTCTAACCCAACGGTCCTCCTTCGGGCCAACAACTGTGACCCAACGGCCCTCTTTAAGACCATAAATACGATGAGTACAGCGGCATAAATATTTGAGATAAACTGTTAATCAAATGGTGTATTTGTCAATTCAGCTATTTACTTTATCAAGCAAATTTTGTTATAACGTACTGCGGATAAAGTAGGTCGATCCAGGCAGTAACTACCGAGAACCAGAATTTCGAATGATAAAATAGCGAAAACCATGCGAAATCTCCACTGTTATAAATCTGGTGATTAAAGATGTCAGCGATGCGACTTCATAGGTTTTGAAGGGCAAGTGTTGTTCTATCATATAGTGGAAAAATTGGGTTGATTTGAGCAGTGACCGCCGAGAACGAGAATTGTAAAAAGTTAAACGATTTTGGATTATTTAGTAGAAGCTGACGTTTAGACTCCTATAAATTTGGAATGTGAAGGTGTGCAATGTTGCGACTTCATAGATATTGTAGAATAGAAATTGCTCTATCAGACGGCTCTATTTTCAGCCGTACCGATATCCACTGAGACACCGCCGAGATTCACGCTCTTAAAAAAAACAAATGAAAAACCGTTTTTTGAGATTCAGCAGCTCATAACTCTTGAGAATTGCATGAATCATGTGCGACTTCATAGGTTGGATTCTCCTCTTCATGAGCTTTCGGATGATATATAGTATGTAAGGACTTCGCGCATTTCACGGCACATGCCCGGGGTGGAGACTTTCCATCACAAGTCGCCACTGGCGGCCTCCAGCCAATACATTAACATGGGCGAGGTGGAGACTTTGGAATGAAAAGTTTCCACCCCGGGTTAGAGCCGCAAAAATCATTGAATTCCCCACATATTATATACCTTCTGAAAGCTCTTGATGGGTAGAATCTAACCTATAAAGTTTCAACATGATTTATGCAATTCTGAAAAAGTTATTAGCTGTTGAAATTCAAAAAGCGGTTTTTTTTACTGTTTTTTGAAAGCATGAATCTCGGCGGTATCTTGAAGGATCGGTACGGCTTAGACATATTTCAATAGAGCGATTCTTACTCTACACCTATGAAGTCACAACATTGCACACCTTTACATTCCATAGTATAGGAGTCTAAACCTCAGCTGTCACTAAGGAACCTAAAATCGCTTAATCTTTTAAAATCTCGTTCTTGGCGGCCACTGCTCAAATCCACCTAATTTTTCCACTATATGATAGAACAACACTTGCCCTTCAAAACCTGTGAAGTCGCATTGCTGACACCAGGTTTATAACAGTGGAGATTTCGCATGGTTTTCGCTATTTTATTATTCGAAATTCTGGTTCTCGGTGGTTACTGCCTGGATCAACCTACTTTATTCGCAGTACGTTATGACAAAATCTACTTGATAAAGTACGTAATTTGATTAACACGTTTATTTCAAATATTTATGCCGCTGTACTCATCGTATTTGTTGCTCTAAAGAGGGCCGTTGCGCCACAGTTGTTGGCCCAAAAGAGAACCGTTGGATTAGAGCTCTTTAATTATCCGGACATGGAGCTTTGCTCTCCAAGATCGTAGAGAGCGCTGACGCGTAGAGCGCCCATGTCGATAATGGCCCCTCCCCCTCCCCCTCTTCGACGTTCTTGAGAGGTAAGTGTCCGGCATTGGCACCCTCACATTTGACCGGCCGATGATAACTGAGACCACCTTCACTTTTGGGAGGCCTGGCTCCACGGCCTGCTTATGATTCGGCACTTACTAGGGAGGTCCAATTGATCACAGTAGCTTTGCGATCGAGTCTTACACCACTTTGAAGATTATTAAGCGGTGATTCCAATTCTGATCTTATCTGCCAAGCGCGTCTGCATGCTAATTTATGAATATTTTCTGATACGAAAGATGAACGCATAGTTTAGGTATGATAAACTGTTACGGCCTTTCCAGCGGTTTCAAATAGAGCAGTGTTAAGTATGAGTGTTTGGACAGAAGGTTTTCTTCAAATGGACTTTGCTCTGATGACTAAAGGCTATTTGAGGGATTCCGACAAATTTTGTTCTACTTATGCATTCAACTTTAACACAAAAAAGCTCAAACTCGATGTTCAAGGACGTTCGGCAGATAACGAAGACAGATCTAAAATCAGCGTTCGATGCTTTTTGCAATCGTATCAGTTCTATGTAAAAAGGGCCACTTCGACCAATCGAACTTCCCTTGCTAGAGGAGCTGGCAGAAAAAGATATGGAATCAGCGTTTAATGATCTCTAAAATGTTGTTGATTTGTACGCCACTTAACTAAAAACACATCCTTGTGAGTTTATGGCACTTTAGTCTTTACGAGAATAATTTGATTCGATCAAGAATGTTGGTGCTCACGTACGGAACTGCGGAGAGGAAGGGAAAGTGAAGAAGTGCCACAATCTCAAGGTCGGAAACGTTATCAATTTATTACTATTCAAGAAGGTGTCAAGTTTAATAGCAGTACAATTGCTTCTACATGCGATACAACCAGCTTACCTTCAAATACAATTTCTTTCCCTCAAGCAAAGTAAAACTTGAAAGTACCTTCATTTCACAAAATCCAGCTGGAGGTGTTATGTTTGCAAACCTCCTGCTGTATTTGCATTCCTTATGCCACATATGTTGTGCATCTGCAGCTTCCGCAGCATTGAGTTGACGCATCAAAGCTGAAAGCTTTTGTGTACCAAGGCTTTCTGATTAGATTTACCAACTTAGATTCCAAGCGGCGTCTTCGATTTTGATCTTGTTGTAATCAATATTCCGATTTATGATAATATTCTTAGTAGATAATGAACTTAGGTAAGCACAGCCGACGAATAGAACGCATATCAAAAAGCATATAACAGGCGGTGACCATTGCAAATATTTTTTTCCGTAAAACCGATACACCAGCATGGCGAGAAGAAAGGAAACTGTCACTCCGACATAGGGATCTGAATCATCGCGTGATGCTAAGTAAGTAAGTCGTCACAAAAAGGTTGGCCAAGAAACTTCTTGTACAACAGATTTATTTGAATGTTGTTGAGGCATTCTGGAGCAAACACGGGATGAGAGAACTTTATTTTATCACGTCATCCTCAAAGTTCGTTCGCACCATTTTCAAAAATTCACAACTTCTGATTTTTCCAACCGACATAACTGTTTTCATTTTTATTTGGAGTAAATCATGGCCTTCATGATGACCTTAACGACTTACTCATGGCCATCGGTTGCATAGATAGGAGCTATAAAAGAGAATTACTTAAATCTCAAATTTTCTGTGTAGGGTCATAAAAAATCTGGAACTTGCAACACAAATCAGAGTAGTCGGTGTTATAAGTTCTAGTACCTGCTCACTCTGACAGTGCAAAGCTTGGGCTAATTAAGCGAGCGTCTCTAACAAAAGTCATGTTATTCGAGAATGCCAAAATAAATCATACATTTTGTATTGCTTGCTCTATAATCATAACTTTTTATAAAAATGTTCAATCAGCACAAGCTGTACAGTTAGAAGGAGCAGGTAGAGAGTAGAATTTTTTACGCCGATTCTTCCGATTTTTTTTGCAGACTCCAAATTTTTTAAGACCTTACACATAAAAATTGAAACTTGAGTAATTTTTTCTGTCGCTCCTATCTATGCAGCAGATGGCCAGTAAGCGGCTAATTCATCATGATGAAGAAGATGATTTACTCCTTTACATAAAGATAAAAGCAGTTGTATAGATGGAGAAATCAGAATTTATAAATTTTTGAAAATGATGCGAACGAATTTTTCAAACGACGTAATACTTTTTATGTGCTTGGTGAACTCCCCTTTTTGCGCAACTCAGATAGGCGCCGGGGGGAGGCGGTCCGCAAACTCGCGCTTTTCTACAAGCGATCAACGTAATTTTGAAGAGTGGCCTAACCTTCAACAAGCGGTACTTCCTTTAGTGTCGCGTGTTCTGCAGGCGGGCAGCAGTACAGCAGTTTCTGCAGGCGCTCGTCAGATAATTTCTTTCAGCGAGCGCCCTGGCTTTTCTTACACAGTTTCGGGCTTACGCCGAGCAAAGGAACACTCCAAATGGAGGAGGTGTCATCATTGGTTTGATTACCCGAGTTTAGGGTACTTTCTCTCAGCGGAAGGTACTTATGGGCTGTGCGGTCCTCCACAAAGAACCGTGCGGCCTTCAGCAATTTTGCATATTCTCGCGAAATCTGCAAGTGGGCCGCATCAGCAAATTATTTTTTCGGTGCCCGCTTGCAGATAAACTGCATGGCCGCCTGCCTCTGGCGATTATTTGTTGTCAAACAATGCCAGCTATGAGTTGAAATAAATTCTCACACAAACTACACGTTATCTGATGTTCCAAAAATCTTACGTTTTAAAAAGTAAACGTAGATTCAGTTTGGGTCTAAGTTACCTCTATAAGAAACGACCACTATCTATAAAGCTTTGGCGGCTGTGAGTCACACTAGCACACTTCGCCTCTTCCCGCTTTCCAAAAAAAATGTTTTAAATGTTTCCTAATGAGAAATGTTTAAGAGGTTTGCAACCTGAGATCGGGCAACGTTTTGCTTCTCTGAATTTTGCATTTTTTCAGTGACTTACCACTTTTGATTTTAATCCGAATGGGTGCTATGTATGGGTAACTACTAACGTCTTGGGGTAGACTAAGGCTCTAATGTTGCATCAAACAAAAGTTCTTCTTTAACTACGGTAGTTCACACTGCTGCAAGTGTTTTGTTAGAGTACTGCAACGTTAATAAAACTTGTTTTTTGTTTTTGCTTCTCCTTGAGCTCCGAAGATCTTGTATTAGGAATTTACAGACGACATTTGCATCAGATAAGCATCGTTTTTTGATCCTGTTTCAACGTCAGATTCATTTTTCAGATCTACTACCACAACATGCTTATCTTGTTATAGCCCGTCCGCGCTGTGCTGAGAGGGCAACGCGTTGCGTTTATTGCACATAGTCCGTGGCTGGAAAAGGCGCAGAGAAAGAAAGAAGCACAAATGCAAGAAAAAAGAGGAGTGGGACGCGAAGTATACAACTTCGCGCCTTGCGCGGACGGCCTACATGAACGTGTGATGTCATCCAGAAGCAGTTTTCAGCCAACCTGGATTTATGTGAAAGAAATGTGGCTAACTTAGTGGGTCCTTGGGATAATAGTATTCTTATAACGAATACGGGCCAATGAATGAGATAAAGAGCATACGATATCTCTCCGACAAAGACCATTTCTTGCACAATGAGTGCTGATACCTACGCAAAAAAATTGCCCGTAAAATTTCTCGTTCTCCGCATAGATATTCTTAGTAACCTTACGTTCCTTCCCTAATAGGATTAGAATCCCTGTCGAGATAGTTGTCCCTCTACGAAGAAATCTCTTTGGCAACGGATGCCAGAAGAATGGTAGTAATATAGTGAAGATAAATAGAAGCCAAGATATGAAAACCAGTACAATGTTACAGTTCGTACGATGCTCTGAAAGCCACCATAAAGTTTATCCTACATGTCAAAAAAATCCGAACCTTCCATCTTTGGATTGTAGTCATCCTTGATCACTAGACTCGCTTCTCTTTCGAGCTGTAAAAAAATAACTTTTGAAATTGTTCTTACGTAAATTCTGCATGAGATTGTTGGCTGAAATCTTTGTTTCATATCGTCTAGAAAACACATAAATGTCATACTCAATCTTCCTACTGTTGCAGAGTGTAAACGCAAGGCTCCCCAAAATAAAATATTAGGTTGACCGGAAATGTCGCATGGCTCCTACCGCGACAGGATGATGACCACAAATAACAGCGAACGGGGTATCATTTCATAGAGCAAAGCAAGCTCTACAAGGTAGTTTATAAATCTCCGCGGAAATCTTGCTTCACCTAAGAATTGAAACCAAAATATAAAATATTTCAAATACCCAAAAAATCGTATCTTCGTTTATAGACGTCTTAGGGATCTCCAAATTGCACAGGCACGTACTCTCCACACGAAACATTCACCTGTATAGTTTGTGGTATTTTCCACGGCAACAGTAGGATCAACAAAAATAGGTCAAAAATGCGATTATGTCGCGCTTTCGGGTCGCACAATTTGAATTTTCTGAAGATTAGCGCTTCTCTAAAATTGAGAATTCACAGTTATACTCCTAAAGGTTCATACTACAGAACCATTCATGCGAGAGAAGCCCAGAGTTGCTTTGGTAAAAATATGCAGAATTTCGTTTTCTCAGCTTTCAGCCGTGGAAAAACGGCGAAGTTGTGCGTACGAGTGTCTCGTATAGTGAGTCCCTGTGTGTGCAAGTTAGGGGTTCCCAGGGCTTTTCTGAATGAAGATAGGATTTTTTTCGTTCTTTAGGTCTTCAATGCCCTAAGAAATTTAGCTCCAAACTTCGCGCATATCAGACCTGGCGCGAAAGATCGAGCTTCATTTTGTAGAGCTTGCTCTAATCTACAAGCAAGTGGTTGTTACCCCACTTGCTTACTTATGTGCTCACGCTGCTGTGACATTGCAGGATAAAATACGATGCGACATTATTTTCAGGACAACCTAATATATTGGGTTGGTGCAAAAGTTTTGTCAGTTTTTTCAATCCATCGACAAACACGCTAGAATAAAGATAAACGAACATTTCAAAAGGCATCCGATACAGAATTTCTTCCTCTTTCCAGCGGCCAAACATTGTGTTTCGTTGCGAGAGTGACAAGATATTTGCTGGAAATCAAAACCACTCGTTTTTAATGTGTCCAATTTTTAATAATTTTCAAAATTTTTGTATGAGACTTTCGGAGAAGCACCATTAACCAAAGATGAGGCAACCCTTTTGCCAATAGAAGCAATTTTTTGTAGCCCTACGGGTTTTCTTCCAGAATTTCTATGATTTATTTCTTGAAGTTATCCATATTTTACATTCAGCCTGTTTTAACATAAAATTTCAAACACCTCAGTCACCATTCAATACAGATTTTTCTCCTCTTTCTAATACTTGTTTTTTTGCCGAGACAGGCGAAATTCGTGGGGAAAATCGCAGTATTTCTCAATTTCAGGAGTGCGCACTGAAGTAACCTATGTTTCGAAATCTTCATAATTTGAAGCGAAAATCGCTCATTTACTTTGTAATGGTAGCGGTAGTAATAACCTTGTGCTAAAACCTCAGTTTTCTGCAGGTTTTGCAGTGCTTGGTGCAATAACAGGTTATGCGATTTTTTTCGAAACACAAGACTTTTAGAAAATTATTTAGCAAAAATCTGAAAAAGCAGCTGAAAGAAAGAAAAAAATTGCTTAAGTTGGCAAAAGGTTTGCTCTATCTGCTTGTTATTAAGGCTCTTCCGAAAGTCTCATACAAAAGTTTTGAAAATTAGCGAAAGTCGGATATGGTAAAAACGAGTGGTTGTATACATTTTGAAGTGTTTGATTATCTTCATTCTAGCGTGTTTGCCGATGGATTGAAAAAAACTGACGAAACTTTTGCACCGACCTAATAATACCGCTCACATTTTTTTGAAAAAAAAGGACGCAAATTGAAGTAGACTTAGGCGACCATCGCGTAAGTCATGCGACGGTCGTGTGGGTTATGTGAGGGTCGCCTAATTCATGCGACATTAGGTCGCGTAAACGTATCTCGCTTCAGAGTAAACGGATTCTGAATCCAAAGCCACGTTCAACATTTCATCTCGACTCAGCTCGGCGCGGACCATCTACCGATAAACTAGAAGTGGGGGTACGATGTCTTCGATACTCCTCAAGTTTTCCCAAATTGTTCTGCGGAGGTCCTTTCGCGAAGATATGAAGCAGCGCCTATCGAACGTAGAAGATTCCACTACGTACTCTTCGATAATATAGTATTCAGAAAAGAGACAAGATTGTTATGAGCTTTTATTGGCCGACGATTCGGCCGTTTCGCCTTCTTCAGAGCCTGGAAGTCTTCGATAATGCTTTTCCTGTAGATTACCGTGCGTTAAAAGATGGCCTCAGACTTCTTTTTAAAGGAGATAGAAGCGTTGGCGAACTCTAAAAAAATCACGAGTTTCCAATTTCTAACTCGCCATAACTTCCTTCGAAATAAGAATATTTTGAATCCAAAAAAAACCATTGTGTTCTGCTCATCAATACGAATCTCTCTATTTACAGCATGTCCTCAATATTCCGATTTCAGTATTTTTGATTTTTTCTGCGCACATCTATTCCCAAAGGTGTAAAACGACGCGCATGGCCCATCGTAGATTCCAGCGAGGGATTCCAATAGTACTTCCTCGTAGATTATGGAGCGCTAAAAAGCTGCCAAAGTTGCAGCAGGCTTCTTTACAAAGGAGATAGACTGCTGAATTGTGGAAAAACCTTGTCCATGAGGCCGTATTTTTGTAGGATCGTAACTCGGCGACTTTACAGATTGGAGGGCGAAGTACCTTCTAACTCAGTTATAGCTCTCTCACCATATGTCTGCAAAAAGACCTTGCACTCGGCAGTCACGTCGTAAATAGTGTGTTCGGAAAATTCTATGAGCGAAGTTTCCTTTCAAACCTATATCATCAGCATTTCGACCAAAGCCCGACCGTCACGTAACTCACACAACCGTCGCACGACTTGCGTGGCGGTCGCCTAAGTCTACTTCAATTTGCGTTTTTTTCCAAAAAATGTGAGCGGTATTGTACGGATCAAAGTTAAGCGAATACTCTTTATTTTGAGAGTTTTAGGATTTTTTGGGGAAACCTCAAAAAACAGTTGGTGCTGTGTAACCGTGGCCGAAAAGCGTACGCAGTACAACAATAAAAAGCCGTGTTCTTAGGAACGAATTTTGGCCTATTTTATCGTCTCGCGATCGTCCTAAGGCCTAAGGCATACCTTACGCGATTTCAGTCGCTGCGCGATCGCAACACTGCAACGATTCTTCATAACTGGTCATAAGTGTGCTTTGCTTGGGCCAGACACAATGCGTTTGCGGCAGCTTACGAAAGCCACGAGCCTATGCTTTTGAATCCCACGCACGGTTAGCCGAAGACTTCCGGCAAATTGCCAATTCGCTCGGATGTAGCGATTTAACGGAATCGCGGGAGGTATGCCTTAGGCCTGAGGGATCGGTAGTACCTGATCCAATTTAAGAGAAAATTTTTTTCTTTTTTTCGAATTTTTCTTCTAATTTTTTGGTTTTCTTATTGCTGCAATCGTTTACAGTCTCGCCGTAGGCGCATATTCTATAAGCAAGGTTTGGCATGTGCAGATAAGCTTGTAAAAGTTATGCGCTTGAGCACTTGAATTCTACACGCAGTAGATTTGCGGGCTGCCAAATTGCCAGATCTCGTATCGCCGCGATTTTGAAGAATTTGCGCGAGGCGTATTCGAGATTTAACACGCGACAACTCTCATGAGTCCATAGCATGCCGTCATCTTGCAGGTTGTGGTAGTTCTCCGACTCGACTAATGGCAAAAAATCATCACAATCTAGGTGCAAGATGTTCTGCATGCAATGAACTCGTCACGGTTGTCTTGTTGGGAAAATCGCGATGCGATGAAGTTGCGTCGTATATGCCCGGCCTTTAGTACGAACTTTGAGCGTAGTATAAACAAATATCTTATGCGAAGCTTCTTTTTTTTCACTTAAAGCTCCAATCCCTCGCATTTGAAATCTTGATAACAAAGTTCAAGAAGTGTGTTGCACACTGAATTTAGTGCACTTTAGAGGTGGAGGAGGAAAATACTTTGTCGCCATACCCGCAAAACATAATTTTAAAAGCGAGCACTGTGGGATTGATTCGGCAAGGATCCAACTTGAAAAAGAAACATAAAACTCACATAACTCTACTTGAGAAAACGCGGAAGAAACGTGAGAGGCAAACTAGAATTCCCTCCCATAACCTAAAACAACTCCCAAAAAAAATTCCACGATTTCACCTATTGAAATCGATTTCACACAGAAAAGTTTAGAATCAGTTCCTCTCAGGTCTTAAATTGAATTGGTACAAACTGGAAATATAATAGTACCTATTAAACAATAGAAGTTGTTGCTAGCATTTGAAGAATTCGAACTCAAAGTTGGATAGATTTAGATATGCTGAAATTCAATCTGAGGATTCGGTAAATTCTTAGCTAAAAAAGTGTTATATATCCGCATATTTGTGACCCAATACGACATTTCTCACAGCTGATGTTCGTTGGGCCGCTAGTTCTTAGCAAAACTTAGCAATTCTGATTTTTGAAATTGTGTCGAAATTGCCGGATTATCAAAAGTTGAGATGAGATTTCAAGATACTCAAGGCTTGAATTAACAAAAGAAAAACGTAAGCAAAAGCATTTGAATTGTGTATCACAAACAGGGCTTGAAGACCCGTCTTCTAGCTATTTTTTATGTACTATCTCATGCCATTCTGGAAGCGAAGTCAACACTCAAATTCAAAACCGCTTTGAGGATACAAAATGATATTATAATCCTTTGATAGATTTCCTACTATAATTCCTAAGTTGAGCGACGACCTGACAACAGGTTTCTCTTTGAGTTTCCTGACAAGGTTCTTAGAGCCTGGTCAAATTTCCGCAGTGCTTGCGCCCATAACTACATCTTACACTACATACATCCACCACGACCATGCTGCTAGGCCTTTGATTCCTCCTGCGCGTCCTGCCTTCGGAAAGAGGGGCTTAATTTTTTCTGACAGCTCAAAATGATTTGGACTTAGGGCGCACCAAAAACGAAATCCTGTGGTATGGAGACTCTAATCAGTTTTTCAAGTCGCAATATACTTTCTGGACAGATATGCTGCTTGACACCAGAAGAAACGCTCTGTACCTGTCGAATTTTTCGTCCGAGCTTCATTTTAGCCTAGAGTTAGCACAAATTGATTCATTATGCAAGCAAAGCACACTTTGCAGGGGCAAAAGCCGAGATCAGAGGTTTAATGCTAACGGTAGGGTAAGGTTAAATGGAGCTAAAACGCAACAAGCACAAAGAGTTTGTTTTTTTTTCGAGCGTTAAAGGCACCGTCCACCCAAAGTGGGCGTTCACGAGATTCGATGGCATACTAATGTAGGCCCCTACACTAGGCCAACCCCCAAGTTTCCCGCAAAAGATTGCTTCCGGAGCGAGAAATCATCTTTGAAAAGTACGTAATCCAAAGTTGGTCACTCCGCCCATTTTGCAGGTTTGGCGGGCTGCGGCGCTAATATATGCCGTGCGATAACAGCGCCGCAGCTCTGCAACCTGCACTTCCACATCTCTCGCTTGTTCTCCAAAATAGGATTTTTTGGGGTTTTCGGGGATTCTCCACTTCATATTCGAAATCAGGGCCTTAAAAAGGCTTGGAAGCGACAAAACATGGAAGTTGAGAATTTGGGTAGACGGTGCCTTTAAGCAGCACATCCGGAAAAGTCATTGTATCATCCCGTTACAAGCTGTTTGAAGCCCTTAAGCCACATAAAGCAGACGCTTTGAGCTCAATGTACTTGAAAGCATTTTGTTCTAGTCGCAAGAAAAGTAAAGCTCATCTGTGTGAAGTGCACTGGGTCGGAGTTTACAATATTTCTCCAGCTTTATTACCGTAATACAAAAAATTTTGAGCGTCAAAGGCTACAGCTTTGAGCAAAAAGGGAGCTTTACTTGAGGTGTTCGTACTACACAAACAACTCAAAGTTTGTGTTCTAGACAAATTTACTCCTAGGTAGACGAAGCTTCAATCTCGTACTGCTTATGCCGTTTTCGGGTATGCTTTTATGTAGCACCAACGGTTTTTAGGTTTTTCACAAGATGTTCTGAAACTCTTACTATACAAAGTATTCGTAATATGAAACGCACTTCATTTGAGTATCTCGTCTATATTTTCTGCAAACAGGAGGAATGGATTACACTGTAACTGTTCTCCAAAACAATATAAAAGATCATTACAACTTAACTCGAGTGCACATCATTGGATGCGCCTTGTTGAAGGATTCCAAAACTGACTTACAATTAAAGGCAGTGTCTCGGCAGAATTTTCGTTTTCCAGTTTCCGTGTTTTCTTTTCGGAGCCTTCTCGCCATGAGGAACCCATATCTGGGCTTTCCAGAGCATGAAAATGGCAAAATGAGCCTTTACAAAATGTCTCGGTGTCTGCATTCGATGCAAAATACGTTTATGTGGGCGGGGTCGTTGGCAAAATCCGGAAGACTTCCTTAGCGAACTTAGCGTCCGCATTCAATAAAGAACCGTCTCGTGAGGGAGAAGGGACGGGGCTTCCGTCTTTTGCGCCCCGCCTCCTTCGTTCCGGCCCCGCCCACATGCATGTATTCTCCACTGAATGTGTACCTGAAAAGCTTGGAAAAAGCTTATTTTCGCCATTTTCATGCGCTGAAGCTTAGATATGGGTTCCCTATGTCGAGAAAGCTCCGAACAGGTAATATTCTGCAAAAATAAAATTTTGCCGAGACACTTCCTTTCAAGGCAGTGTTCCGGCAAAATTTCGCTCTTCGGTTTTTCACCTTATCGGAGCCTTCTCACCATGTTGAAACACATCTGGGCTTCGCAGCGTCTGAAAATGGCAAAAATGATTCTTTGCGAACTCTTCGTGTTTGCATTCGCTGCAAGATAGGTTTATGTGGGTGGGATCTGGAAGACTTCCTTAGCGGATTTTGGGCTTTCCAGAAACGCTTTTTCACCCTAGACTTTAGCCATAGGTTAGTTTGAGGGTCTGTTACGGTAACACTGTAGAATCCCGACACCCATCATCTTTCCGACACGCTGGTTTGGGGTACTTGCTAAGCGGCTCTAGAAAAAGTTACTGGCGTCTGATGTCTAAGTGGTAGACATTAAGTATCTTTAGCTACAGAATTTGATTGTCTCAAAACACCTGTTTACCGTGACGGTCTGGAGGGGGGGGCCTCCCTCGAGTAGGTAAAAATTTTTAAAATTTACTTACATGGGTTATAAAAATGTGCAAATGACTACCTCCATTTGTTTACGTTTCATATATGCATTCCTTGTAATCAGCGCATTCACCAGCATGCCAATCAAGGCATAGTGCATCAAGACTCTGATAATCCTATGCTACCGCTCATAATCTTTGCAGTAATCACTCAGCAGATACTCAGATAATCGCCGGGGGCAGGCAGCCATGCAGTTTATCTGCAAGCGGGCACCGGAAAAATAGTTTGCTGATTTCTTGCGGCCCGCTTGCAGATATTTGGAAGAATGTTGGCTAAATTTTAGACGTATGCTCGAAGAACAAATGGGCACTTTTGTAGATTAGTTACGGCTAAGTAGCCGCATTCTCGCGGACTTTCCGCGAGAATATACACAAAATTATTGAAAACCGCAAGGTTCTTTGTGAAGGACCGCACAGTCCGTAGGTACCTTTCGCTAAGGAGAAGTACACCAAACCCTGGGTAATTGAACCACCTTGACACCTCGGACATGTACAGTGTTACTTTGCTCGACGTACGCCCGAACCTGCGTACAGTTACAGCGCTCGCTGATAGAAATTATTTGGCGACCGCTCGCAGAAAATGCTGTATTGCTGCTTGCCTGCAGAACATGCGACAGTACAGCAGGTACCCGCTTGTTGAAGGTTTGGCCACGCCCCAAAATTCTACTGACCGCTTGCAAGAAAAGCGAGTTTGCGGACCGCCTGCCCCCAACGACTGGCTGAGTTTAGAAGACAGATTCGAAGTGAGCTCTTTGAAGCGCATCTGATGATATGCTCTTCATTCCAGTGCGATTTGAGATTAGGGACAAGCGTTTTGCGTCGCACGTTCATCGAGGGGGGGGGGGTATATAGGGGCCAGAGAGAGAAGGGTCGTAATTGACGTGATATTGATGTTCGCGATCATATGACATGTGTTAACAAGGTCGAATAAGCCCAATAAGCAAGTCAGAAGCACACTGAGGTATTGATCTACCAAGACATATAGGATGATCACGTGAAATATGAAGCAAAAAACGCCCATTCGGATAAAGCAACTAAAATTTGAAAAGGTTAACTTTATCTGATATTTATGAAGGCTTTGCATAAGCCCCCTTGACCTTGTTTGAAAATGTCCGCTTCTGAGTTAGATATAACACATTCGTTTGATCACTCCTGTGGATTTTCTAAAATGCGCGCTGTAACGATTTATTCTAAATTAAAAAATTAAAATTTATTTATAAAAAAGCAAACCATGTACTTTCTCAGACAATTATGGCGAGTACCCGCCGGTCACCCACGGGCGACGCCACGCCCATCCCGCGCGCCGATAAGCGCCCGGTAATCGCCCGACATTGCCCGCGGATGGCCCGATAAGCGCTCGAACAACGCAGCGGATGGCCCGGGAAGCGCATGCATCTGCGGGTGTCCAATACATCCCGATAAAGCAATGAAGCTCATAAATATTATTTCCAAATTTTGAAACCTTTTCGGACACCTGTTCATATTCTTTCGCCCGACAACTACCTGGTCCCAGGATCAAGTAGTCCGATAGAGCTCAACCGAGACACCATTGATGACCAGGAACTTAACGCTACTTGACTTTTGCTAAACGACGCAAATGTTGAGGGTAGCCCTATCACCGCTGGTATCCCGCGCGGGTAGCGTTCTCTCCTTACAAGGCTCGGGGCTTGCCGGATTGATATTGTCGCGCCCTCGCCTAAAGGGCCGCGGCTTGTCCGAGAATTAAATCTGCAGTGCGCCTCCGGGGCTCGCCCGAGTGTTTTTTCTTGGGCCGCAGGTGTTCCGAAAAAACTTTGTAAGCCCGCAGCTGTTTCTAGCGATAACATTGAGCCGCGGTGGTCAAGAAAATAAATTTAGGACCGAGGATGGTCAGTCCAATAATTTAACGCCCGCGCACCGCCGACAGGGACCGTTAGGTGCTGCGGTGCTTGCAATGATTGTCTGAGTTTGTACTTTACTTTTGCACTTTCTGGGCAGCCTTCAAAAAAAAATTTTCTGGATACTGTCCGATAAAAGAAGAAATCTGCATTTTTCCAAAAAGCTCTTCAACAATACCGACCTTTTTCTGAAGTAAAACTGTTAGAGAAGAAAATTATAAAGAAAAAATTTGAGGAACCTCGAAGCAAAAATGAGATGAAATGAGACAAAATAAAAAACAAATTTTTGAAATCTTGTCACACTTCATGTGAACTATCCTGCACATACAGTAAGCATTACAAAAAACTGCACCAATCTTGAGAATAATTTTTGTAATTGACATGTCAAATAACCCTTTTGGATCAAGTCTTAGCGAGTGAGGATTCCAAGTCTCCATCCGAGTGAAATGGCCATTTGAACACGATTAGCTTTGTTTTTTTAAGTGAGTTAGCTACCTGTTTATGGGCTGTGTACAAAGCACTACTCCTTCTTTGCCCACACGAGAAATCACCTTTCATATAACAACGCTGAATCATAACAGCAGGAGCCCACCAGCGCTCGTTTGTCTCATTTTCCTTCTCAATGGTTCTGTTTGCAGCAACTATTACTCAGACTAAAGAAGACAAGTTAGACACAAACTACAGAAAACTAAGAGGTCTGAACTATCGAATATATACATATTTTTGCCACTTTCCCTCGCAGTATACGTAGTAGAACAGATTTAGCACTGTATCGTAAACCAATAATTGCCATATAAAAGCAGCGATTGCGGATGAGATGTCTACTGCTACTGTGAAGAGAAGGAGGCTTAATGGTTTCAAAGTTTTAGAAAACCTAGATGTGTGAATGTTTTGAAGATAAGTTGATGGAGTGGGGCACAACCCCTAAAGGCAGCGTCGGGACAGATTCTAGACTCCCATATTTTTATGTTATCCTTTTAGACCTTTTCATGACATTGATTCCAAACATGGCACTCAAAAAGCGGATTTCTTTTTGAAAAACCACCTTTTTAGGGCTATTTTCGGTCAGCCCGGACAAATTCTTTAAATGCTGTTTTTGTCGAAAGCAAGCATTAACAGGTAAACGCTATGTGTTCGATAGTGTTTGCCACGTGAAAACACGTCAAGGGCTGAGGAAATTTGGTCAAGGTGTTGGCCGTGCGAGGAAGTGGGCGTGGTTTTTGAAAGCAGTGTTTCACCAGAATTTGGTTGTCAAGATCCTTGCGTATTGCAAGCCTTTTCGTCCCTGTCTAGAATGCACAAAAACCCCGTTTTTGAAAGCCCGTCAAAGCAACACGGACAGATTGCCTTTTCAGCTCAGCCTTCGCCACAACGGCATCAACACCATGGAGGTGGACGCCACGCGGAACGACATGTTAAAACGCGCAAGGAGAAAACCGGGAAAATCCCGCTTTGCGGCGCACCTTGAGGGCAAATTTTTCGGCGTAGAATCGAGTCGAACCTGGAGTGATTGCCTGTTCAGGGTGTTCCTCTAACATAATATGTGGAAACCCGCACTATCCCAATTTCGATGAGACATTGCCTTTGAGGCTCGGAGGTCTGCCTGAACGATGCCTTTATAAAGGCTACTTTTGTGGCGGCTACGTTTTCTGAGTTATGGCACACCGCCTAACTTTTTTTGAGAAAAATTCGAACTACTTAAACAGCATACAATATCCTAAACTCCATAGTTTCACAGCAATAACTTTATTTAGAATCGCCTTTTTACATATGAGTTACTGTTGCTGAAAGCAAACCATGGCAAGCAAAAAATGAGAGATCGAGATCTTGTACAATTCTCAATCACACAGTCTGGCGGTTACTCGAAGCAAGTCTCACATGAGCGAAGGCTGAGTAATGTATTGTTTTGGATGGGAAGAGAGATATGAATAGAATCGTTGGCCGCGCGTCACCCTCAGAACGAAGTTAATTTTTTTTGAGTATGACCATTTCACTTAAGTGGCCCAATTTGGGAACCTCAGAATTCGCTAAAAGTCGGTTTACAAGGATTACAGGTTGATTACGAATATATTAGACATTATAATTAGTAAGGATTCATGTTATACTATTTGGGAACCTTAGAATTCGCTAAAAGTAGATTTACAAGGATTACAGGTTGATTACGAATATATTAGACATTCTAATTAGTAAGGACTCATCTTATACCTAACGGTAAGTAGACGATAGTTCTGGGAGCTCTGAGACACATGTTTG